TTTGCAACCTTAGACCCTGGTTCAAGCCCCTGACAGATAGCCATTGCGTGAGGCAAGTCAGACCCTCTTACAAAATGTCTGTTAATCACGGTGGCTCTTCCTGCTTGTATCACAGCATTGTTGTGAGGCCAGAATGAGATACATGCATGTATCATGCACAGAGCTCCTTGGAGGAGGGCCAGCATTACAGATGTGGGGATGATAATTATGGATAGTGTGTTGGTTGCAGCTCTGGGTAGGATTGGCAAGATGTGGCAACTTCCACCCTGTGATGGAGCTGGAAGATAAATATCTTTAAGGTCTTACTATCGTGGTCCACTAAAATAGTGGCTCCTTTGATTTTTAATAAAAATCCAGTTTTTCTCACACGAGAGTCTCCCTCGGATATTCATCTTCAGAAAGCTGTTTCTCGGGCGCTCAGCATGTAGTCGTGATTAACCTAGCATAGCAGCTGCTATTTAGGTCTCAAGCTTCCTAGCAGTTCTTGCCACAGGCAGCCAGTCAAGGGTTTGTGAGCATGGCTTACGTGTGCTGCCCCGAAACTTGATGCTGGGCAGGCAGTGGGAGGCACATCTGCAATTTGACTGCATCGGGGTTTCGCTCAATTTATTGTACTTCCAGGTGTTCAAATACACGGGAGGTTTTTCTTTGCAGGGTGGCAGCTGTTGGAAATGAATGACATGTACATAAATTAGTATTAGCTGGGCTGCAGGGTAGGAACAAGGAACAGTGCAAGACGCGTCAGTCTTTCTGCCTGCTCGTATCCCCGCTTCTGAAAGTTTGCCTGCACCCCTCAGGCCTTTCAAAAGCAAGAGCGCCGGAAAGCTGTATTCTTAAGATACGGCATCATTTGCCCTCCAGATGTTCTGGGCTGCAATTCCCATCGTGCCCGTTCAGCACATCTGGAACATCTGGAGGGCACCAGGTTGCTGAGGCCTAGAGAGAGTTTTTATTTATTTTGCTAGGTTTTGCTGGCTTGAAGCAAAACAAACGTGCAATACATTGCTACTGTGCAAAGTGTTGGGAGAGGGGTTGCCATTTTGGAGAGAGGTGATCTGATTTGTCATGGGCACTTTTTGACTAGTGCCTGCTGAGCAGCAGGAGGAGCTCTTCCGCCCCTGTCCTCCCCCCCCCCCCCCCAGTTCTCAGATCAGGCTGAATTCTGTTTTAGGGTCATAACATATGTAGAGTGAAGATGGACCCTTCTCAAGGCAGCCAGTAGCAAAAAGTAAAAAAAGCCATGTCTGTTATAGTGTGCATTTCCCCTCCTTTACAAATGTCCTTATCCATATCTTCACACCCACATGAAATTCATGCACAGGAGAATAAAGAAACATTGGCTTACTACATGAAATGAAAGACAGAATATGTGGATGTTGCTTCAGGCAGCAGCATTATAATATTAAAGGTAAAGGTAAAGGTACCCCTGCCCGTACGGGCCAGTCGTGTCCGACTCTAGGGTTGTGCGCCCATCTCACTTAAGAGGCCAGGGGCCAGCGCTGTCCGGAGACACTTCCGGGTCACGTGGCCAGCGTGACGAAGCTGCTCTGGCAAGCCAGCACCAGCGCAGCACACGGAAACGCCATTTACCTTCCCGCTAGTAAGCAGTCCCTATTTATCCACTTGCACTTAGGGGTGCTTTCGAACTGCTAGGTGGGCAGGAGCTGGGACCGAAAGACGGGAGCTCACCCCGCCGCGGGGATTCGAACCGCCGACCATGCGATCGGCAAGCCCTAGGCACTGAGGTTTTACCCACAGCGCCACCATTATAATATTAGTAGGCAACAAACCTTGACACCACAAACACACCTTGATCGAAAGAGTAAAAGAATCCCTAACTATTCCTGCTTTGCAGAGGCTTGGATTAGATGACCCTCGGTGTCCTTTCCAACTCTGTGATTCTGTGAGCGGTTGACACTGACAAGGCTTTAGGTATACTTTCCCGTAAGATCGGCTGTCGAGTCTCAAGTGCGAGTCTCATCCTCCACCACCGCATTCAGTTGTTTTTGAAAAGTATGCACACAACTCCTTTCATAAAAACCGTGCCCCCCCCCCCCGGTCAGTATAGAATGCATATCGGCCTGTCCTCTTTGGTTTGTTCTTAACATGTTATGTGGTCAGGAGCATAGCAGCAGCTCCCTCCCTTCACAGCAAGGTCCTCTCCTCTCCTCTCCTCCCACCCTGCACTAGAGGTCAGGTTGACTTTTGAACTGGCCCCTGCTGGGTTCTCCCAGGCAGGCTGAAGATGCATGAGGATGCTTTGAACTGATTGGCTGCATGGGTCCTGCTACCCCCCTCCCCATGGTGAACCCTGTTCAAGATATCAAACATCTGCTTGCCTTCAAATTGCACGGGGGAAGCGCTCTGCCCAGCCTCACTCGTGATGACTCAGCTGCACATACCCACACACCCCGGGCCTTGTGGAAACTTGAGTTGGTGATTTGTGCATGTACCTCCTTTCTCCTTCAGATGTGATGCATGTGTTGACTTGCACAGCGTTCATTCTCTTTCTCATAGATACACTCACTCACTCTACTTTTATCTTGGTAATCATCCTTGACTGTCACCCTGGCATCAGCGCTTCCCTCTCACATTCCTATCCTGTAGAATTAGCATAGGGCTGCCTCAGAAGGCGAGGTTAGTATCTTCTTTGGGGGGGGTGTGACTAAACAGGTATTTCTCTAGCATCACACCCTTTCCTAGGAAAGCAGGCGGAGTCTGGAGCAGGCTTCCAACCAGCCCTGTCTCCAGACTTCCAGGGCAAGCTTCTTGGGAGAGGCAGATACCATCTCGGTGAGTGGTGTGTTTATGCCTTTCGCTTCCCCTCTTTCCAAGCCCCCCCCCCCCATGTCTCCTCTGGCAGTTGCCCATGACTTCCAAAAGCAAACAAGGCAGAGGTACATTCCACGGTGCATGCTTATTTTTAGGCTTTTGGCGTGGCTGGGCTAGAGATGAGTTCCTTTCCAAAGTGCTTTTGTTGTGCTACCTTTCAAAGCCTCGTTCTTCTCTCGGGGTGCCTTGGGGTTTCTCTGCTTTAATAAAAGAGCCACATTTAAAGGTTCCCCCCAGCGTGCATAGAAGCTGCTCCATCTCCTGCCTGCAAGGGAGTCCATGTGGACTGGCTTATGCTCGGTTCTTCAAACCCTGCTTCCTTCTCTCTTGCCCTCCCTTGCTGCATACTGTACAGGCCAGGAAGTAGCAGAATCTCTTGAGTTCCCTTACCAAAATTGCCCTTCCTGGCTGCAGACTCCTCCACATTATGTCTCCGCATGAGCCTCAAAGTGTACAGTTGTGAGGATCTGCCATATAGTCGCGGCCTTCTGCATGGCCTCTTCCCACCCTCCTTTAAAATATATATAATTTCCAGGAGAACTTCATTCTGAAAGGAGGGAGTGGCAGCGGGCTTAAGTGAAAGGGTTTTACAGGCGGAAAGAATGAAGATCTAGCCCTTTTATTTACTGTCAAAAAGTTAAGGGTGCAGGTTAAAACAGTCCCATGGAGTAAAGTAGACATTGTCATTACATGGTTTCTTTTAATCCTACGTGGCATATTTGAAAGCAAGATGGGGGCAGTAATAAAAAAGGCACAGACCCCTGCTTTGAGGAGAATGCAAGTCTAAAATGAGATGGAGGCAGAGTGTTTATTCCAGTGCAAAAACAATAAGATCCAACAGTAGTATGCAATATGTATGTAAACTTTTGAAAGTGTACATAAAGTCTTTTAAAAAAGTTTTCTGTTGTTGGAAATAGCTTTGTGTGTGGATGTTTCCCTGGATCCTTGTTGCGTTAAAAATGTCAGAGCCCTTCCTGAGCCCAAATAAGTTTGACTATGGGCTTCTTATACTTTAGTCAGTCTTTGGTGGTTTGTTTTGCAGTCAGTTGATATAGTCCTTACATGGAGCAGTTCCACATTTAAGTCACTTCAAACACACATTTAAACCATATAACTTTCCCCAAAGAATCATGGGAACTATAGTTTCCCCTCACAGGGCTACAGTTCTCAGCACCCTTAAACTACGGATCCCATAAGTCTTTGGAGGAAGTCATGTCCTTTAAATGTGTGTTGTATGTTCTTCAAAAGTATGGTGTGTATCTGCATGGGGATTCTGTTGAATGTATGAACCATCTCCCTTAAAGGACTGTTCTGGAGCTGGCATTTGGTGCCGATCTTCCTGTGATGATTTGTGAGGCTTACCTGAATATGCAAATCAAGATTTCATGATGTCATACCCTGTGTGAGTCTGTTGACCCTAGACCCTAAAATTCAACATGTACAAGAGCTCTTCATAAGGCTCCTCCTTCCTTCTTATATTGACCTGTGGAACACTCTGCCACAAGGAATAGCAACCATGTTACGGTGTACCATATACAGCAGTTGAGCTCAAAAGAGAGTGAGGCAAAACTGTGAAAGATGGAATGTGGGCCGCATGGTCAGTTCAGAGAGGACTCCCATCAGGTAAAGGTCTACAGTGAGAAGACAGCAGAGCATTTTGTCATTTGTATCTGCTGTTGCTTTGTGCCATGTGGTGTAAACACAGCTTGTGTCATCCTGTATTTGGTGAGCAAGATTGTGTTGCCTCTACAAAGCTTGTACATTTGCCCAGAAAGTGCAAAAGCTGTGGGAACGTGCTGTAGATGTTTGTCCTGGTGTTAATATGCAAAATATCTAGAGCAGCGCTGTGCAGTACATATATTAAGGCTAAGGAACTGCTACATTCTGAAGGCTATCATGAGTTCTAGAAGTTATCCTTGTTCTTAAAAAAAAGTTGGAATTCATTGGATGCGATGGACAAAAGTATTTTTGGTGCGATGGGGCTGTGTGACATTACTTCTTGTATGGGGAATTCCGAATCTAAATGTGCAGGTCATACTCTGTTAGTTGGGTGCAGTGTGAAGAGGCACCCAAGTTTGCCTTATTTTCCGGAACTTGATACAGGGGAATTTCAGCTGTTGGTGTGACTCATTACGGCTGTGGTTTAACCCTGGTGGATCTTCTTGCAGAGCAGCCATGGAGGTGGTGAACATGATGGAGCAACCCATCAAGGTGACGGAATGGCAGCAGACATACACCTATGACTCGGGCATCCATTCCGGGATGAACACCCAGGTGCCATCGGTGAGCAGCAAGTGTCTGGTGGACGACGATGACCTGTATGGCAAGCAGTACACAATTAAGAAGACCACCACTTACAGCCAGGCTGGAGCTGGGCAAGCCCAAGCCCAGGCACAAGGTGAAACTTTACTTATATGCTTATTACGTGAATCCTACACGATGGGAGTCAATCGAGTTTCTATTGAGTCAATCTGTGGTTTCTATTGAATAGCAAAAGGAAGTCTCGCATCTGGGTACTGACTCAGACCAGCTTAGCTTGAGCAAGGCTGCTGCAGTGGCAGACATTTCAGTGGTGCTCTGTGCAACACTCAAATTTGGCGCCCCCACCTTTCACGCTCTGTTCTGAATCGTTGTTGTGGTTCCCTCTAGCAGCCAGTGTTAGAAGCTGGGATAGTAAAGCCAGGAGCCAATGGTTTCTGCGACCTGGGTTATAGGCGCCAAAGCAGAATGTCTAGTCGCCATTTGGTGGGTGGGAGGGTTCGGCAACACTTTTATTTCTTATTTTGATAAGCATGAACTAATACACACTTCACATAAGTAACACCTTGTTAATATCACATTTTTAGCAGAAATTGTGAATACATGTTTAATTTGGTGTTTACAATAAAAATATCAGTACCAAACTTCAGTTTTCGAAACACTCTACCCTTCATTGTTAAACATATTTTCTATCCTTAACATATTCTTTGAGGCTTCAAAGCACATATATTTCAGTAATCCTTGAATGTCAGCCAGGTTCAAAAAGTGGCTCCCAGATTTTTTGAGGTGCTCGCAAATGAAGAACCTTTAGGCGCAAAATGCACCTGTTGCCCTGCTATTTTTGAACCCTGCCTGCGGCGTGAAGCCCAGTGCAACTGCACTGGTCACCCTACCCTAAAACCACCTCTGGTTGCTGCACCATGAACCTTCAGGCCACGCCCTTGCCTGAGGTCATGTGATGAAGCAGCGTTGCATATTGCCTCTTCACCCTGTTGGGTCTCCCGAGGAGGTTTACAAGGCAAGCACGAAATACAATACTGAAGTCACCTCCATTGTAAAAGAGAGAGACACAGACTTATTTTACCGGGTGTTATAGTGCCAGATTAAATCCCACCAGCACTCTCTAGACTCTAATGCCATTAAAAAAAAAAAAAAGCCAATAAGAAGGAAAAAAATTGGGTGCTAAACTTTCCAACCGCATAGGTAGGGAATCTGAAAAACGGGCACTGCAGCAGGAAAAAAAAAAAGCTCTGCTGTTGGTAACTGACAGCCTGGTTGCAAAAAGCATAGGTGGTTTGGGTAATATGGAAGAAGGCATTCCATAAAGAAGGTAGGCTCCTCAGAGCTGGACCGACCTTTTTCTACCATATATTTTGTATGGGTGGCAGCGCTGCTTTTGCAGCCAACCCACCCTGGGTCAGGCTGTAACTCTTTACTTTATGATGATGATCGTACTAAAAATTCTTACTTGCCATCAGTGGGTCCCAACACTAGTGTGCTCTAAGAGGCTAGGACTCTGGATGTGTAGGGCTTTAAAGGTTAAATCGGCGCTCAGAAATTACTAACACAGACCCAAGAGACGCCTTGCTCCAGCAGGGCAGTATATCCAGACAGTTCTTACATTTTTGCAAGAATGCCGCTTCTGTGTGATTACTTCCCATGCTGTGATTACTTCCCATGAGAGTGCATGTTAGTGGCTACTTTAACCACAATGTTGTCACAGAAAGCAGAACGTTTCAGTTCATCCCACATGAACTGGTGGCATCTGAATCTTGGGACATGACCTCACTGCTCGTGTAGCATAAGAACTGGTCCTCAGCCTTGTGAGCTGGGAAATCTGGATTCAAATCCAAATTCTGCCATACTGTGGGTGGGACAAGTAACATTGCCTCAGCTGTGGTTCTCCGGCTATGGAAAGAGTACCTCCCGGTAGGATGTTGCGAAGGTGGACTTGTACAAGGATGTAGAATTCTGTAGCTCAAGGGCGTTTCCACAGTAACCCAGAGAAGCTAATTCTTCTTTGTTCTTTTCACTTACTTTGCTACATGGGAACTGCAGCTTGAATTATGAACAAACCCATGCCTATCGAAAGTACCAAAGGGTATGCTTTTTTGTGATTTTTTTTGCAAAAAATACATACTCTTACGTAGGCTTCTTTGGGGAAATGTTCTTCTTTTGTGAAGAACGCATATTGCAAGTGACTGACATCACAGATTTTGCAAAAAAAAATTCCATGCCTGTAAAATTTTGCAATGTGATTTCGGTAAAATGGAAGAGGATCAGGAAACGGGGAGAGCAGATTTTGTCCTGTCTTTTCACTGAGATAAATACAGAAGAGACTTGTAGAAGACTGCAGAGAGACAGTCACATCTGCAGGTAGAGGCAGCAAATGGCTGTGATTCTCTGCGTAACACAGGAATCCAGGTTGCTGCAATAATTTAGGCACGTCAACACCTCCCCCCCCCCAAATCCCTGTGTATATTTTTCCAGTGCAAACCAGTCCCCATTTCCCACCTCCCTTTCATGTTTTTAATTAAGCAGCTTTGTGTTACAACTGCCTAATCGCACTGGCTAATTAACTCCTGCCTTATCTCTTGGCTCACATGTGAGGACTCCTGCACCTCGCAGAGCTGAAGCAGTTTCATGAACCTCCCTGCGAGGCGGATGGAAATCCTGGTTGGGATTTCCTCTGTGCTAATCCTGTCCCTCTCACCCTCTTTTGCAGCGGATTTGGAGTCCCACCTTGCCATGACCCGTGCCCAGCGCGTCCGGGCTGCCATGTACCCGGAGACTGTAGAGGACCGCTCCCTTCTCATCACCACCCAAGTGGAAGGGCAGCAGACAAATGTTCAGCGGCTGGCCGAGCCCTCCCAGATGCTCAAGTCGGCCATTGTGCATCTCATCAACTACCAGGATGATGCTGAGCTGGCCACCCGCGCCATCCCTGAACTCACCAAACTCTTGAATGACGAGGATCCGGTAAGGCTCTAGACCTCTGCGACTTGTTGGAGTCGGTTTGCCTAGCAGAGTGGGTGGTCTGGAGTGTAGTTGGCATGTCAGTGATCCCGTTCGTGAAATGGTGTATACTGTGCTTCCACTGAATTTCTGCAACTTCTCTGCACCAGAATCTTCAGTTTCAGTCTTCTTCAGTTTACCACCCCACAAAAAATTACCAAGTGTGCCTAGCTCTTAACAACTGCAAAGGTTTTGGCAATCTCTGGTGAAATCCTGGAAGCCCAAGAGGCTGATGAATAGCACTGTTAGCACGTAGAAGAACTTCGGGCCCCTTGAATCCCCCCCCCCCATGACTCCCAGAAGCAGACTGGATCATGTAAAGAGATAAATCATTCTGATTTTGTGTAACTAACACAGGGTGCAGAATTTGGCCACGCTTAGTGTTGAACGCTGGAGCTTTTAGGGCTGTCATCATCACCAACAATGTGTAAAATGCAGCATAAAGAGAGGAGTGTCATTTTTAATGTAAATAAGTATATAGAGAATTTTTAATTTTGTCTACCGCGTCCGCCCCTTGGTGTCGATGTAGTATATCTTGTCTGGTCTTTGACCGCAACAAAGATTGATTGCAGCACAATAGAACTGGGTGTTCGGCAGAGCTCACTGCAGCTCCCTGTTTCGTCCTTTCAGCTCCCCTCTTACCTTCATTGCTCTTAAATTCGTTGCCTCCATTCCTTCCAGGTCGTGGTCAGCAAAGCAGCCATGATTGTGAACCAGCTGTCCAAGAAGGAGGCCTCGCGCCGTGCTCTGATGCAGTCCCCTCAGATAGTCGCTGCCGTGGTCCGAACCATGCACAGCACGAGCGACCTAGACACAGCCCGCTGCACCACCAGCATCCTCCACAACCTGTCCCACCACCGCGAGGGCCTGCTGTCCATCTTTAAGTCTGGGGGCATCCCAGCTCTTGTGCGCATGCTCAGGTGAATCTGCGGCCCTTGGCACATCCCATGGATGCCTTTAAAATCATAGGAACGTAGGACACTGCCCTATGCAGAGTCAGACTGTTGGTCCATCTATTGTCTACATTTGGCTGGCAGCAGCTCTCTGGGCTTTATCCAGGGTTCTGTCCCAGTCGTACTTCTAGATGCCAAGGATCAAACCTGGGAGCTTCTGCATCCAAATCAGATGCTCTGCCCTTCCCCAACCCTACAGGACTTTCTGAATTTCCAACACTCAGCAGAGCTTGACCCTCACTTCCCCCATTTTTGGAAGAGCTTTTTCCAAGAGTAAAGCTTGGAAATCCAAACAATGTATAGGACGCCTGTCTGGGCTGCATTTGCACTAGGTATCCAGCTCAGGTTCTTGGTGGGTTGTGGTTGCAGAAGTTTAGGGTGGTATTCAGCTAAGTTCATGTGCCAGCCCAACAGGATTTCTTTTCCCCCTGCACCACTCCCAGATCTGCTCTGGTAGGTCGGGAGAAAGTCCAGAACATATTTAAAAAGGTGTGGGAGTGGGGAGGAGAAATCCTTGCACTGATGGAGCATCGACCATAGCAATACCTTCAATCTTTGGTGTGTGCTAGGGCTCAGCCCTGAAACCTGTCATGTCCCATTGTGCATGTACATAATCCTCTATATTACCAACAAGTAATTACAAGCGACCCACCCACACTTGATATTATAGGGAAGGGCCATATTTACTTGATCCTTCTCTACCTCTTAGCTTTACAAATAGCTGACCATGTCCTGGTGGCTGGTTAACCATCTCTTGAGTTGCGCAAATAGAACTAAAGCGTACTAACTTCAGCCACCCCCAAATTCCCAGGCACACCTGAGCAGTATGCTGCCAGCCGCTCTCTCTTCTCTTATGCACGTCCTGCTATTCCTTTGCGATGCAAGCCTTGCTAGGCACCTGAGATGCCGTGGCAGCTTGCCAGGTGAACGTCCACACCCAGCTGGCATAAAATGGAGCTGATGAGCAGTTGCCTTAACATGGAGGCGTTGCCTTTGTTTTTTGAAGCACAAGCCTCGGCGTGCCATAGCTGAGCCTTGCTCGGTTTCCATTATTGCTTTTCCACAGTTTAGAAGTCCTGCAACCTCACCCTCTTCATACCTTGGCACCTTCTTTAATAGCTTCTCTGTGTGCCACAGTGGGGCCGCCAGAGCACAGAGCCGCATCCTCTGTGGCAGCCCCACAACTGAGTTGGCAGCAAAATGTCCCATTGTCTTGGTGTTGCTCTCAACTGAGCACCCCAAGAAAGGAGAGGAGAAGCCGGGGAGTGGGGACATAACTTAAGTGGCTGGCAGCTGCATAGCTTGGTGGCAGAGTGTTATGACTGCTAAGCCAGTGGGCTTTATTTTAAGTATGTGCAGTGAGTCCCGCTCTTTTTCCACTGCAGTTCTCGTATGAATCGTTGCCTGTCTTGACCCCCTTTGGCTGGGAATTCAAATAATAGAATTTTTTGCCTTCCAATGTTTCCCACCCCTTGACGCACAGCTCTCCTGTGGAGTCAGTCCTGTTTTATGCCATCACCACCCTTCACAACCTGCTGCTGTACCAGGAAGGTGCCAAGATGGCCGTGCGCCTGGCGGATGGCCTTCAGAAGATGGTTCCCCTGCTGACCAAGAACAACCCAAAATTTCTTGCCATCACCACCGACTGCCTGCAGCTGCTTGCCTATGGGAACCAGGAAAGCAAGGTAAAGGGGGAGCCGTGCCACTAAACTAGGATGCTTCTCTTACATGGAGTGCAGGGCAGAGGAGACCCTGGGATCCAGTAACATAGGGCGTGAATTGGTGCTCAGAACATAAGCAAGTCTTCCCCACTCGTGTTTGAGTTTGGGTTGCGTCAGCTCTTGTCTACAAACAGCAAGGAAAAGGCTACATTTCATGGGCTTGAGGGGGAGGATGAAATGGAGAAAACATGCCCTAAGTTCTGGGGAAACGATTGAATGGACAGGTGCCATTCTCTGTGCATGCCCAGAGAAGCAGGAGATCATCACTCTGTGTGCTTGCTTCTGCAGCTCATCATCCTGGCCAACGGAGGCCCCCAAGCCCTTGTTCAGATTATGCGCAGCTACTCATATGAGAAACTGCTGTGGACCACCAGCCGCGTCCTCAAGGTCCTTTCCGTCTGCCCCAGCAACAAGCCAGCCATCGTGGAAGCCGGTGAGTGGCTACAGTGGTGGAACGCTTTGTTAGGAGTCTGGAAAAGGGGTGCTTCATCTGGCGTCATACTTTGCTGTCTTCAGCAGCTGGTGCCTCAAGAGTGCACTGTGGCAATTGGTTCTCTTCATTAACTGTGCAAAGTATGTTCCCTAAATTTGCACTTTGCATTTGAGAACGTGCAAAGCGATACAGGAATGCTCAGCTTTCAGTACCTTCCCAGGAACTAGTTCAGCATGTACAAATTGATTAGAGGATACTGTTTCTTTAAAAGCTCAGAGCAACCATGGGTCTTGCAAGTGGGGTTTTCCAGGCACTGATCAGGGCAATACCATCATTGCTTCATCATTGCTATAGACTGGGCAAATAGCTAGCCTTTCAGTTACAGTAAAACCTGTGCACAGTCATTCTACTAGTAAGCAAAGAACATCACACCACGGTCTAGTGCTGAAAGAGTTAGACTTAGAACTTGAACAACATCTTTGCCTTTGACATTCTTAAATCCTAAGCCCCTGTGGGCAGGACCTGACTTCTTACTTGTGTACGGTGCCTGGTTATTGTAAGGATTTTAACATAATGCAGCATTTGGCGAGTCACTTCGCTAGTCTTGGTTTCCTTACCTGTATAATTGGAAAAAAGCAGTGATCGGACTTCCTCTTGAGCATAGTCTTGAACACACAACAAAGATTTGTGTCGAGGAAATGCTCTTAGTGTTGCTTCATTATATATATCAACCTGCAAAACATTAATTAGAGCTGTCGGACTCCCTCTCGCAGCCTGTCTTGGCAGTTTGTGCCGTGCATGATAGCATTGCTGCAGCTGTTCTGTGAGCTACATCCAGCTTCCTTTCCAGCAGGAAAGACAGGGTTTAAATGCTAGTTATTTAGTGGTGGTTTAACACTGTTTGGACACACACTCCTGCTTGTCCAAATAATCAAAGTAAAAATAAATAAATTACAATTTTTTATCTCTTTTCTTCTTCTTCCTCTCCCCGCCCCCCCAACACACCCCAACAGGAGGCATGCAAGCTCTGGGAAAGCACCTGACCAGCTCCAGCCCAAGGCTTGTGCAGAACTGCCTGTGGACTCTGAGGAACCTCTCAGATGTGGCCACAAAGCAGGTGAGCAAGACTGGGCAGGGCCTCTTGCATTCTGCAGCAGTATATTTTCCACGGGCACCTTTAATTTGAACCACCCTTAAGCCCCACCCAGTAATTGTTCCTAATAGTTGCAGAGTCATGACAAGCAATCTGCTTCTTTTGGAGGATCACTTGGAGAAGGGAGTGGAGGAGTGGGGAATAGGGCAAGGCTCCATCCCCAAAGGGCTGCGGAAAAGCCTTGATGATCCTCCACTCCTCTTTTTTGCTCTTGCGTTAGCAACTAGGGGGCCAGGTGACATTCCTCGGTGGCCATATTTGGCTTAGGGGATTCCAGCAGACGACCCTGGCCTTAGGGTCTAGCTAATCTGGAGAGGTTGTAGCAAAATTTCATGACACTCCTGTTCGAGAAAGGGGAGTTTGAGAGAGAAACATGTTGGAATACTTCTCCCCACACTCCTTTCTTCCCTTTAACAAAATTGTCTGGCCCCGTGGTGTCGTCTCATGACCTTTTTCTATCCCACCCACAGGAGGGTCTTGATGGTGTCCTGAAGATCCTGGTGAACCAGCTGAGTTCGGACGACATCAATGTGCTGACCTGTGCCACCGGCACCCTCTCCAACTTGACCTGCAACAACAGCAAGAACAAGACCCTGGTCACCCAGTCGAACGGAGTGGAAGCCCTGATACACACCATCCTCCGGGCGGGAGACAAAGAGGATATCACCGAGCCAGCTGTCTGTGCTCTGAGGCACCTCACCAGCCGGCACCCAGAGGCTGAGATGGCCCAGAATTCCGTGCGGCTGAACTATGGCATCCCCGCCATCGTCAAGCTGCTTAATCAGCCCAATCAGTGGCCGTTGATCAAGGTATGAGTGGAGGGAGGCCATTGGCTGAGCAGTTTTGTGTATACATACATAGTGTGCCTTACTTCAAGCGTATCAGGCTCAGATTACTAAAGCAGTGGCTTTTCACATGTTCAGGAAAACAATCTAGCACAGTCCTAGGAGGCTGTGCCATGTCAGAATGGGCAGTCATGGTTAAATCTTTCTCCATGTCAGAAACTCCCTGATCATCACGGAAAGCTACAGTATTAGGGATTGTAGTAGTTTAGCTTTCTCCTTTGCGCTTCTCTCTTGGCTGTGCCAAGTGGTTTCATCAACACCAGGGAGCATTTGATCACGTGGGTCTCCAACATTTTTAAAATATCCTTTTTCTTTATTGAAAGATTAAAAAGTACGTAATCACAAGTGCACAGAGGAAGATAAGACACAAAAGAAGAAAAAGAAAAAGAAATAGCACCCATGTAGAAAACAAAACAAAAGGGACGCGGGTGGCGCTGTGGGTAAAAGCCTCAGCGCCTAGGGCTTGCCGATCGAAAGGTCGGCGGTTCGAATCCCCGCGGCGGGGTGCGCTCCCGTCGTTCGGTCCCAGCGCCTGCCAACCTAGCAGTTCGAAAGCACCCCCGGGTGCAAGTAGATAAATAGGGACCGCTTACAAGCGGGAAGGTAAACGGCGTTTCCGTGTGCGGCTCTGGCTCGCCAGAGCAGCGATGTCACGCTGGCCACGTGACCCGGAAGTGTCTCCGGACAGCGCTGGCCCACGGCCTATAGAGTGAGATGGGCGCACAACCCTAGAGTCTGGCAAGACTAGCCCGTACGGGCAGGGGTACCTTTACCTTTACTAGAAAACAAAACAGAGTGGGGGTGGGGGACTTGCATACATTACAAGAAATGGTTATTGTAGTTAACCAGACCATAACCTATTACGGTATTTATATTGTTGATTTTGTCAATGGCAAGTTTATGTTTCTACCCAACCTGTTCATGTGTAGTGAGTTTGTACCTATCTTCAATCTAATCATGGAAGAGAGCTGCATATTCCCCCCCCCCAGTTCATCAATACCCAACTTTTTGCCGCAGCAAGGGTGCAGAGAGTCAATTCATATTGTCCCTACATTAGATTCCATGTATTGTGTTTATAGTTCAAAATCACATGGCCTCCATCTTGAGGTGGTACAGCCCGCCTAATACTACTTTCAGCTAAGCTGCAGGGGGCTCCTTGCCGCACTGTGGAATTTGAATTTGTGTGCTGGGGAATGATGTTGGCTGTAGGAACGATGGGAGCAATCTGCGTAGATGTCCGAGATCTGTATGGCCGGTTGGTATAACGCAGTGGCTAAGTGCATTTACCTGTTCGCTAGGAAGGCTTTGCTTCCAAATTGCAGCTCGGCTGCAAGATAATTGGGCAGCCTTCGACAGAGCAGCCTCCTCTGTAATATGGGGGTGATGAATAACACCAGCCAACCTTTCATGCTGGTTGTGCAGATTGCTTAGATGACGCAAGTGCTGAAGGACGTGGTGCTTTTCTCTTATATAATCTTATAGCAGGCATGGGGTCTTTAGGTGCAGATGGGAGAAGAGAGTCTTCCTCCTGGAAGAAGGTTGAGGGAAGGGAGTTGGTGGGTATGAGAGAGAGGAATTGCTCTGTTGGCTAGCCTAATCCAGTGGTGCTCTTGTGTTTGGTATTAATTTGGAGCAAAGGAGCAGGGACTGCATTGTTCTGCTCTGTTTTCTGACTTTAAATGCTGAGGGTGGGGTAGGGATGGGGAATGCTAGCACCTTGCAAAACTACCTGGTTTTGCCCTTGGCCAGTGTCCTTAAGGTGTGCCTCTTTCCTTCTTCTCCATGCTCATAGGCTACCATCGGCCTCATCCGCAACCTGGCTTTGTGCCCAGCCAACCACGCCCCCTTGCAGGAAGCCGCCGTCATCCCGCGCCTGGTTCAGCTGCTGGTGAAGGCTCACCAAGACGCCCAGCGCCACGCAGCCGCCGGCACACAGCAGCCCTACACGGTGAGGGGCCAGGGAGGGTGCTGGCTTGGGCATGGGATCCTAACCGGCTGAAAGCCCCCTTAATACAGCAGGTCCCTGTTTTCGTTTCATTTTGCACCTCTGGAGCAATAGTCACCTTCAGTGTGGCAATAACATGTGGGGTGCAAGCCAAGGAACAGGCCGCTCTGCATATCCAGCCCCTAACAGATTTCTTTCTCGTTCAGGATGGGGTAAAGATGGAGGAGATCGTGGAAGGCTGTACGGGGGCATTGCACATCTTGGCTCGCGACCCCATGAACCGAATGGAGATCTTCCGCCTGAACACCATCCCGCTCTTTGTGCAGGTGGGTGCATCCAAGAGGAGGGGAGGAATGCCATAGGGATGTGTGGGTGGGACTTGGCACCCTTGAGTCAGGTAAACTAGACTTGGAGCAGAGAGAAGCAAATCCCCATGAAGCTTTCTTGGTGGCTCTTGTCCGTTGGTACCTGGCATCACCTGTATTCTCAAGGTCTTGCTCATCTCCCTATCTTGCTTGTGTAGTTTGGCTTGAATCAGGTTGTGTGTGTGTGTGTGTGTGTGTGTGTGTGTGTGTGTTCTTGCCATTTAATAACAACAGCAATTGAATGTTTGCCATGCACCCACCGCACCTCGGCATTGTACATAAAGCAGGGTTTCGTAGTCCTTTGCTAGCAGGGACGCGATACACAAGGAACATTGAGGAAGGGCAGGGAGCAAAACGGAATGAAATAGAAAACATTCTCTTGCTTACACTTCCTGCCTTTGTTTGCTTCTCCCCTGACCACAGCTCCTGTACTCTCCAGTGGAAAACATCCAGCGTGTGGCAGCTGGTGTTCTGTGTGAACTGGCGCAAGATAAGGAAGCAGCTGACGCCATTGACGCAGAGGGGGCCTCAGCACCGCTGATGGAGCTCCTCCACTCCCGGAACGAAGGCACAGGTAATGGGCTGTGTACGCGCATTTCTCCCTCTAAGATAGAGTTCTGTGTGGTTCCCTTTGCTGTTGCTGCTCCAGCTTCCTCCATTCAACAGTTCAATTAGCTTAATTACCTAGTGTTGAAAATGCGTTAGAGCAAACATTACAAGAGTGATTAAACGTGTGAGAGTGGCAAATGGTTTTGGGGTTTGTATATAAAAGGCAGCATGGGCTTACTCAGAGTTAAGTCATTCCAAGCAGGCAACTGTTTCCTCTCTGAGAAAGGAAAATGCAGCATTCGACTTTTCCAGTGAAATGGAATTGATTAAAAGGAAGATGAACAAGACTGTGTTGCATCTCATGCTCAGCCATAGTTTAGCACAACACGGACAGGGCCAAACAAATTCCACCAAGCCTTAGATTGCATGCTTCCCTTTCTCTCATCCTCCTTCTGAGTTGCTGGGAGGAAAAGGTTTGGAAGCTTTCACTTCAGCTTTCGCATAACTGCTTCCTTTTGTCCAAACTTGGTATTGTGGTTAGTATTAACTGAAGCAATGATTTCAAGGTGGCTTATTACAAACAAGCTATAGTTAATGCTCACAAACTACGGCTTAGTGTGAAGCCTGAATGCAGCCAGCGTTTTTTCTCTGGGAACATGTCCAACGTGGAGAAAAACAACTGATGAAAGTTGTTCCATGGTCTGATCGTGTCCTATTTTATTCAATATTTTTTGCTGGAGATAAAAAAATGGAAGAGATTTGTTGGTGGCCAGTGATCTTTTTAATGCGACAAAGGATCCAGGAGTTATGCAAGGATTTAGCTGGATGACCTCATGAACTGAGCAATAGAAATTTGACAGTGAATAGTACAGAGTATGAGGGTGTGTGTTTTATGACAGTCAGCTGGCTGAAAAGTCAGATGAAGAAAGGATATTGGTTGCAAAATGCCTGTGAGCTACTGATGTGATGTAGCAGACATTGAAGGCAGTTCTCGGATTCACTGGGCTTTTCTAGCAAGGATAGATGAGGCAAAGGAAAAGGAAGCCGAGAAAAGGAATACCGTATTTTTCTCTCTATTACACGCAGATTTTTTCTCCTAAAAAGGAAGGGGAAATGTCTGTGCGTGTTATGGAGCGAATGTGGGGGGGGGGTCCCTGGAGCCGATTAGGGGAGCGCAGGAACAAAAATCAGCAAAAATCAACCGTGCGTTGTGTCGGAGAGGGAAACCTGAAAAGAGGAAGTGGTTGCTTTCCTGCATTCTGCCTCAGGGTCTTACTGCCCACCCTCCTCTGTTTCCTTGCTGTGTTTGCTCAAACGGAACAAAGAGCAGGCAAATCCCCTCCCCTCCAGGCAAGCAGAGGGGAAAGCAGAGGTCTTTCCTTCTAATTCCTCTCCGTGCTCCTCGCAGGCAGCCAGAAAACATGCAGGAGGAGAGAGAAAGCTGGCTTCGGTTTGTGGAAACTTTTGCCTTTCTTTCCTCCCTCCCGTAAAATCTCTCTCCTGCTTTCTTAGCCAGCTGCTTCTCTGCACACCGCTCTCTTGTCCCTTCTGTGTTTTTCCTTCACTCCCCACTTAAAATGTAGTTACAAAGCATGGATCCACATGGATCCTCAGGATCTTTGCATTGGGCCACCCCAAATTCACCATCAGATCACATAGCAGCCTGCCCCCCAAAAATCACACACCCACTGCTGCCTGGGGCTGCAATGGTGCAAAAACGTGGTTTAAAAGCATGGATCCACATGGATCCTCAGGATCTTTGCATTGGGCCACCCCAAATTCACCATCAGATCACATAGCAGCCTGCCCCCCAAAAATCACACACCCACTGTTGCCTGGGGCTGCAATGGTGCAAAAATGTCGTTAAAAAGCATGGATCCACATGGATCCTCAGGATCTTTGCATTGGGCCACCCCAAATTCACCATCAGATCACATGTCTGTGGCCACAGCATGAAGCACAAAAATGATACATCCACTGTTTCATTCAGAATTTTTTCCTTGTTTTCCTCCTCTAAAAACGATGTGCGTGTTATGGTCAGGTGCGTGTTATAGAGCGAAAAATACGGTAAAATCCATCAAGGTGGTAAAACACAGCCATTGCCAACATAGGTGTTAACAAAATGGGAGATTTGCTAAAGGGCCTCTTGATTTCACCCCCTCTCTCCCTCCAGCTACATACGCAGCAGCTGTGCTGTTCCGCATCTCGGAAGACAAGAACCCGGACTATCGGAAACGCGTCTCTGTAGAACTTACCAATTCGCTCTTCAAACACGATCCTGCCGCTTGGGAAGCAGTGAGTGGTGTCTATAATGTTTTGGCAGGGAGGGGCTAGTGTGACAACTTGGAGCCAGAGCAGACCTTGCCCCTCCTCTCTCTCCCCTCACCCCCACTTCCCCCAGTCTTCTTACCTTCAATATGCTTGCAAAATGAATATGCTTATTTTGGACGTTTGATGACTGACTTCTGGAAAATCAAGGTGTGCAGAGTACTTAAAGTTGACGGTAGTGTTCTAACATACAATATTGGGACTTTGGGAATAAATAAACTACCCCACAACATTCAAAACTTGAAGATATTTTGGAATCTCTGGCACCTGAATCTCACTTCATACTTGGGCAATTTGGTCCTAACATACCGTATTTTTCCGTCTATAAGACGCCCCCATGTATAAGACACCCCCTATTTTGGGGGACTCCGATTTAAGAAAAAATTGTGTATTTTACTATACGAGTATAAGACACCGTGTATACACGCCCCCAAATTTTTGACATTATTTTTTAGGGGGAAAAACCTCGTCTTATACACGGAAAAATATGGTAATTGGTCATAAGAGAACCGGAAGGGGTTACTGGGTCATTAAGACAAACCCTTTGCCTGTTGCAGAGACCCTGCTTCAACCAATGTTATTAGAGAGCGAGAGAGAGAAATGCCCCACCTCTTCATGTTCAGTGGTGTTAACATCCTTGGACAAGGGTTCAAAATTTAACTTCAGCATTTTGCCCAAGACACTCATCGCCTCATTAGGTGACACCCACCATAGCAGTGTTGTCCCAGCTGTGTTCTACGAAAACCTACATTTGTTCCTGTATCACACGCTTGGGACCAAAGAACACATTTCCCAGGAAACAACCTTTCGATCTAGCAATTTATTTATATATATATATATATATATATATATATATATATATATATGAAGTCCAGCAGTGGTTTCGGGAGGGAGGGGTGTTGAGTGCTGTCTACCTGCAGGACAAATGACGGCTGTGGGAGCAATTTCCATCAGGAAAACAGCATGAGAGTAAAAGGCTTGCCCTCCTCTCCTTTCCCCCCACTAAACTGCTTCACTGCTCCAATCAGTTTGGCACCTGAACTTCATTAGAAACTAAAATGCTTGACCATGCAGCCATAGTTGCCTGCATGACATGTGAATCGGCCCTCACTTCACATGGGCCAGCGGCAAGACATAAAATACCCTGGTCAGCATCCCATGTGAACTTGAATGTACTCAACTTCCTTAAAGTAACCCAGTTGGATGTTTGCCTAACCCATTGTTTGGTGGCCTCCAGTGACCTGTTGTCATCATCCTTTCCCTGAAGCTCTTGTTTCCGTGTTTTGTTACCCACTAAAGTTAACGTGTGTGTTTTTTCTGACCGGCAAACAATCTAAACCTGTTTGGCCAAGTTCAGGACAGTGATCGGAATAATTTGGGAGAGCTTTACTTGCACGAAGAATTTGAAAATGGCCAAAGTGGCCAAAGGGACTAACAGTGCATTAAAAACAGTCAGAGGCGCCTGCTAATGGTGAACCACTTGCTTAGCAAGTATAGTCTCCAAGCCTCTACCCCGGGACAGAAAAGCCTGTGTCTCTCTATGTTACACCCATCATGCCTGATCATTGGCCAGCCAGCCAGGGCTGATGGGAGTTGGAATCCAACAACCTCTGGAGGGCCACAGGTTCCCCACCTCTGCTGTATCCCATCAACTCTGGTGTTGGGGTGGTCACTTACTCATGGGCTAGGAGTTCAGCAGTCTGGGTTTTCCCTCGTCAAGCATTTGCAGATCTGGGGGATCCACTCCCACCCTGGTTTCTGGGCATGGGCAACCCAGATGTTTGCAGCTCTCTCAGTGGCACAAACTCAGCTAAAGAAGATATTAGCCCACAAAGCAGTTGTCCTGAGGTTGCCATGGGAAACCTGAGTTTAGAATACCCCAAGAGCATCTTTGGGTTAACCTGTGGTCTCAGCAAGGCTTCTGCTACCATGTTGTGTGAACATCTGTCTCTTCTCCACAGGCCCAGAGCATGATACCCATTCATGAGCCATACGCAGATGGTAAGTATGAGCTGCCAGCCTTCCTGTCCCTGGGTCCCAATTTCTAGGAGGTGGGGAGGTGGGAGCTGGCTCAGAGCAAAGGAAGCTTGGTGAGGCACTGCCCAACTTTCATCAAAAAACCAGCCATCACTGCCTGTTCTCCTATAACATTTAAGCACATGGGACCTTATCCTTTTCCGTTGCAATAGAGCTGGATGGAGGTTACCGCAGCATGTACCCCTCCGACATCCCCATGGATCCTATGCATATGGACATGGACATGGATGGGGACTATCCCATGGATGCATACAGCGATGGCGTGCGGGGCGCTTACCCGGACCACGTTCTTTCCTAAGGTGCTCTTTGGGCAGGGCTCAAGGTAAGAACATCTCCAGATGCATTTTGGAACTGGACAGTTGCTTGAATCAAAATCCAACAGAGAACGGAGACAGTATTCTTGTTCCTGGAGGTACAAACACTCTCTGCGCCCTTTTATTTGCCTTCAAAAATGTCTCTCTGTTGTTGTGTTTTCCCTGCTCCAAATGAAAATGGATAACCTGCAGGTGTGATTTCTCTAGAGCAGTGTTTCCCAACCTTTTTTGGGCAAAGGCACACTTGTTTCATGAAAAAAATCTCGAGGCACACCACCATGCCAGATGGGGAAAGGTCACTTTTTACTTATGTAAAAAAAAATAAAAAAATAGTAACAGCATAGAAGGTAATGGTTAGGCTAGCATCCCTCTTCCAAATATGCTAGGATTTTATTTGCAGGGACTGTTCTACATGGGAAAGCATTCAGCACTGTCATTCTCCCATCTGCCATCTGAATTGGTACTATTCTGGGTCAACTTACTCTGCTGCATGTGTAGATGAAAATGGCACCAAGTGTGGGGGAGGGGGCAGAACAGGTTTCAGATACAGGATATTAAGCATACACGTACTTCAGATTGAACTGGTTGCTTGCTTTGCAAGTTTTCATTTCCCAAATGACTGCCTTGGCAAGCGCAATACCTACCAGGCTCAACGCCGGTCTCGCACTGCCGCTTCCCGCGCTCTCAAGGACCTGGGAGGAGGAAGGCGTGAAGGGAATCCCGAAGGCGCGAAAACCTCGCGCATGCGCAGGCCTTCCGCCTGCGACAGCCCAGTAGGCCGGCCGAAGCGAGCGGCGATGGGATGTGGGAGCTCGCTCGCTCGCCGCCCCGCGTGCAGGGGCGCCGACTTATAAAAAATATTGGGGGGGCCCATACCGGGGTCCTGCCCCGGGAAGTTTTCTAAATTTTAGATGAAAATTAGTGAGTTTTAAAGTATTTCGGCGGAGCCGGAGCGATTGGGGAGGAGGGGGCTTGTTGCCGGATTCTTCAGCTGGGCCGGAGATCCGCTGCTGGGGGGTCCCTGGGCCGAGTTGTGAGCACGGCCTGCTGAAGGGAGATCCAGCCGATTGCGCGACGGGGACGGCCGGGGCTCTCCGGCTAGGGCGCGCGGCTGGCTGGCTGGCTGGCGAGGGAGCAGGTGGGGAGGAGGCGGGGGGTATAACGTTCTCAAAATAAACCGGTGCGTAAACGCAGGTGGCGCTGTGGGTAAAAGCCTCAGCGCCTAGGGCTTGCTGATCGAAAGGTCGGCGGTTCGAATCCCCGCGGCGGGGTGCGTTCCCGTTGCTTGGTCCCAGCGCCTGCCAGCCTAGCAGTTCGAAAGCACCCCTGGGTGCAAGTAGATAAATAGGGACCGCTTACTGGCGGGAAGGTAAATGGCGTTTCTGTGTGCGGCTCTGGCTTGCCAGAGCAGCGATGTCACGCTGGCCACGTGACCTGGAAGTGTCTCCGGACAGCGCTGGCCCTCGGCCTCTTGAGTGAGATGGGCGCACAACCCTAGAGTCTGTCAAGACTGGCCCGTACGGGCAGGGGTACCTTTACCTTTACCTTTAAACAAAATAAGCAGATGCCCCTACCACAGTGCCAGTACTTTACTGGGTCTCTTAAATGCAAAATTGCAAGATCTTGATTTCCCACCACCACCTAAAGGGAAGGATATGAGATGAGCAATAGCTGCAGGGAACCTCCCGAGCTCAGGAACCTCGCCCTTCTTTAGCAAGACTGAAAGTAAGTGAGGATCCTGAACAGCTACGGGAGGTCAAAGAAGGGCGGCTGCAGGTCCCGAGGGCTGAAGGCGCCACAAAGACCAGCGCTGCTCTGCTCGCTCCCTCTGCCTCGCGCGCCCAGCCCCTTGCCCCGCAGAAGAGACCCGGGTGGTTGTCATGACAAACCCATTACCTCTTCTTAGGCCCCTCTCTCTGATTCTCGCGGGAGCGCGAATCCTAGCTTGGAAAGCCTTAGAACGGAGCAGCGCAGAAACGCAGGTCCCAATTGGCCAAAACGGCTGCCACTCTATACGGGGGGCGGGGGACCGAGGGAAAAACGAGGGGAGCGCTCCGGAGCGGCGCGCTCTAATAGCTTATCGACGGGAGTTCCTGGCCTGGCTAAAACTACAATTCCCAGCAAGCTTTGCAGCACGGGTTGCCTCATTGGTCCCAGCATGCAGCGCCTCTCCAATTACTGAGTGGGCAATAAAAAGCCGTACTAGGCGTGTGAGAGGCAGAATAAGGATGGGAGGCAAGTCAGCTTCGCCGCGGTCTCCTTTCAATAAGCATGACTTTCGAAACACCAGGCGTGCTTCTTTCTCATCACGTCCAGCCTCGCTCGGTTCCCCTTCTTTCAAACAATTTCTATCGGCCCGTGCGAAACTTGCGTGCCCTCCTCGGCTCTCCCCTCACCTTGCGCCCTTGGGCTTATCTCCTCTTTCCCAGAGCGCGCTTTCGGCGACCAACTCGGTGGAATGCTTCCCTCTCCTAATGGTGGCTGGGCGCGTCCGTCATCGGGAGAGGGGTGGGATCTGCGGGCTGGGCGAGGGCTTGGTTGGCTGCCTCGGGATTTGCGCCTCTCTTCGGGTTGTGCAGTCAGGCGGCGGGTGTGCGAGAGAGGGAGAGCCGGGCAGGTCGCTCCTCTCTCTTTATCTCTCTCCGCCCACACGCGCCTCCCCCACCCCACTCCGCCCGAGACAGCGGCGGGGACTCTGAGGCGGCGGCGGTTAGAGCAAGAGTAGACGCGGGCGGGGATGGTGCGTCTCGGGGCCTATGCCCGCGTGTGCCTATGTGGGGCACGTTACAGCCCCGTGACGTTAGCGCCACGCAGGCAGCCAGGCAGGCAGACGGCGAGAGCCCCGCGCTGGGCGGCCTCTCCTCGCCGCCGCCGCCCCGCCTCTCGCCGCCCGACTCGCCCGCCTCCCTCCCACGGCACACCAGGCAACGTCTCGCGGCACACTAGTGTGCCGCGGAACACCGGTTGGGAAACACTGCTCTAGAGAGGCCTGGAGAAAATCCTGAGCTAAAATCAAGGGAGACATGTGGATTAATTTTTAAGCCCAGTTCAAATGGCATGGTAAATGAGAATTCGTCTAGACACACACACACACACACACACACACACACACACACACACCATTTTTCTCTTGTGCAACCACAGCAGGAAGTTTGAAGTTTTTGCTTAACCGTAGCGTGTTGTGTCTCCTGAACCAAGAAACTAAATGACATTGACTATCATATGTTTGAAACAAGCCAGCTTCCAAACGTGGCACATGAAACTTGGCTTGTTCTGCAAACCTTGGTCAAACGTTAGCCCCAGTTGTTAGGATTCGGATGTAACACTCAACTGTGATTAACTGAAATTGGAAGGAACAGCTTTTGAGATCCTGCTGGCTATGCTGGAGGGGAGAAGAAAGGAGGGGGAGCCCAGGCTTGTTTCCTGTCATGGTATCCAAGCATGGCCTTTGTGTGGTGGTCTCTCCCCACCCCCAATTCCTAGACAAAACAAAGCTTTGCAGGTTTGCTACAAGCAGAATATTTTGTTGGGTCAGACCAAATGTCCGCCCGCTCCAACTGTTTATCTCCCAGCAGCCTCCATCCAGTTGCCCCTCTAAGACATGGTAGGGCTCCTGTGGCTTGTCCCTAGCTTCTAGTACGAAGAGAAATAAATACTGCTGTTTCACTTTTGGGTGTTGTGGCTAATGCCCATTAGTAGACAAGTCTTTTGCAAATTTGTCCAAAAGTTCTCCCATTGTGTCGCCTCCAAAGTTGCTTATTTTCAACACCTACTGGTGGAACGGCTATTCCAAAAGAGAGAGAAATCTTTGCGCCTGAGATCTAGAAATTTGCAAGTGCCTAAAAACAAAAGGGGTTGTTCTTGACAGCCCGACTGCCAAATTGTCTTCCTGGCAAAAATGGAGGTTGCTATTCAATTGACAAGGAACCAAGAGACCTTTTGCTCATCAGACAAGGCTACTGGGCTTGATGGACCAAGCAGTCTGACCCTGATATATAAAGCAACTTCCTATATCACAAACAGAGACGTGCTCTCTAGCATTGCTGAGTTCTTTGTATCTTGCAAATCTGACATGCCCTTCTCTCCCCCCCCCCTTTCTCTTGCTCCACAGATGTTTTCTTAACACAGAAGAGGGCAGCCTCAGTGCTCAACTCCGGGGCACTTGGGAGACAGAAGTGCCTGAGAAAGATGACAAACTCTTCCTTTCCCTGCGAGGAGGTTTTATTTTCTAAAACGAAACCATTTCCCCCTCCTGTGGGCCTATGGGAAAGACCCTCCCCCCAGACCCCCCTACCCAGGACTGCTTCTAACAATCTTGTAATAACTTTTTATCGGCAGTCAGCTCCTTTCCCTCTGACTTTAATCAACCTCTCCCGTTTATCCCCTCTGCCGCTTCACCAAACTTTCCCTAAATCTGGGAACCATTCTCAAAACTGCCATTGGGTCCTTATACGAGTATTTTTCAAGCACACACACAAACTCCCCTCACCCCCGGCATTTGTGGTGCAAAACTAACTCTTTGCCATTTTAGATATATATATATATTTTCTCCCCTGTTTGCACTTCTAATGCGTTGTCATCTAGGAAGTGAAGAAAACGATTTCCCCTTTCTCTCTTCTACTTTTTTTTTTTTTAAAACTTTCTGGGTTTTATTTTTAAATAAAGAGCAACCAATGGGTGTGAGAGTTTGCCAAGAAACGAACAGCTTTGCATTTCCCAGCTTCTTCATTTGTTTTTTAGCCCTTGACAAATGTCTCTGTGGGTTTTGGCGCCCCAGCTGAAGAATCTCTTAAGCCCTCCTGCAAAGAGGAACGACTAACCGTTTTAAGAAAGCTGTCCTTCTACTGACCATCTCTTGCACATTTTTAACCCCGAGTCGTCCTCCTTTTCCTCTCCTCCCCTCACCCCACCCTTCCTGGTGATTGGCGTGTTTCTCTTCCTCCTCCCCCCTCCCCAACCCCCAACCCTCTTCCTCCTTCTAATGCATTTTTAAAAGCAGCTCTCTCAATGTGATGGCTTAAGGCTTCCACTGGAAAAGGGATCGATGTAGCTGCAAATGTACTTCAGAAGATTTTATTATTATTTCTCTAAGGGATTTTTTTGTATAGACCAAAGCTTAAAAAACAAATAAAAACTTAAACCCAACCCTGCAATGCAAATGGGCTTGATTTCTTTGTGTTAACATTAGCTTCTGAGTGGCAGACTGGAATTCTGAAGAGGGGAAGACGGCTGAGTGGAAGGAAGGGAGAAAGGACAATGGAAGAATATGCCCAGATGCAGTTTAGAAGTGCTCAGGTCCTGTTTCATGGGGAAATGTTGGGTTGGCCCAACAGCCTAGTGGAAGAGGCGACTTTGAGAACGAACTAGGATTGTAATAGATAGATAGATATTGGGAAGCTGATTGACTTGCTTGATTAGGCCAGGGGAAATTTATTGGAGAGAGAATGAAAAAAAGCATTGGCCTCTCTGAGTGGTGCGCTTTGTGTGCAAGCTTGTAAATAGTTTGAGTTTCTCAAAAATAAATCAGCATTGAGGTTTGGGGCACGCTACACATTCTGACTTTAACTGGTTTTAAATGCAGGTTAAATAATTTTTTAGGTGACTTGACTTAACTCATCAGGTGTGCAAGAGTAGAACTTTCATAAGCAGCTGTTGGAATATGTGAATTTTCTTTTTTCATGTCATCGACTTTAGCGGTAACATTACCTTCCCGAAGGTGGAGTTCCATATAGCCCAAACCACACTGGGACTTTTTTTTATTACTTTTAATTCCATCAGCTGTCCATAAACCTTTGCACCAACCAACCCTGTTAACTGTTCTTCCCAAGGAGAGGCTGTCAATTAAAAATGTGTAAAGTTGGTAGAGAGGGGGAAGAGTTTAACAAGGCCAGGGATCAGGGAGGTCTGCCTGTTAATCCTTAAAATAAGCAGGATTTGGTGACTGCAGCAGTGAGAGAAACGCATGCCGTTCACTATACATTTTAGGATTCAGCTCCTGATGCTGGAAATGGGGTTCAAGAGCTTGGCTCTGCTGATGTCCTTGAGATACCGTTGTTGAAACTGCTTAGGCTTCCCATAAGAATTGTGTCACATATACAGAACAAAAGTTGCTACACCAGCCTGCACCTTGCAGTAGTATGGTTGAACGTTAACCAGTCTCCTGATGCCCTGCCAACCTGTGAAGTCATCTGTTTGATTGTAGTTCTGGTCTCTGCACACCATTTCCGGAGCGATGCTGGCTGAAGGTCATCTTACTCCCTTTATTGTTCCTGGCCTTAAAAGGCATGGTTATTTTTTTCATTTTTATCCACTCTTCCATGTTGAAACTGGATCTCCCACCCAGTGCAGCTATGGGTGGATTAGATGCTACACTTAAACCACGCACCGTAATTGCCCACTAAAGTTGTCCAAATCCTATGTCACAGAAAGAATTCTACAAGCCAGTACAAAGGATGCAGATGAACAGATGGGTAGGCTTGCTTTGCATAGTTTTATGCCCTGAGATCTTTTGGTGAAGGGTTGTCTATGAATCTAATAAATAAAAATAAAATAGTTTATTATGCAGAGCTCTTCGTCCCATAACTTACTGGTCCACGGAAGGTCCCACCTCCATATCCCTGAAATCGGTCTGTTCATATAGCTGCGACTTCTGAAACTTCACCAGACATTCCTCACATAAATCTCTAGCTCTGCAACTGTCTGCAAGCAGTGAGTGCAAGTGGCGCCATGCCTTCGCCAGCAACTGCATTTTTGGGGTGGGTGGGAGGAGACGCACATCTGGCAGACACGATATACATCTTTTGCTCACGCTTTACAAACACCCAGGTAAATGCAGGGGGGACCACAGGTGTTTCGGGGTGCTATTGCTTGTGCTTTTGTGGTGTTCACTGCCGGAAACAGCTATTTGTGGAAAACGATTGCGTGAAGCGTGGAGCTGCCATTATCCCTGTGAAACCACCACTCTCGAGTGGCAACTGTGTCCACGTTTAACAAGGTAACATCCGCTAATAAAAAAATTAAAAATTATTATTTATACCCCACCCACCTGACTGGGTTTCCCCAGCCACTCTGGGCGGCTATCTCCAAAAAAATACAATAAAGTATCAAACATTAAAAACTTCCCTAAACAGGACTGCCTTCAGATGTCTTCTAAAAGTCAGATGATTGCTTATTGCCTTGACATCTGATGGGAGGGCATTCCACAGGGCGGGCGCTACTACCGAGAAGGCGCTCTGCCTGGTTCCCTGTAAACTCACATCTCAGCGAGGGAACCGCCAGAAGGCCCTCGGAGCTGGACCTCAGTGTCCGGGCTGATGTGCCTCTGCTGCATTAACCCAGGGATCAAGGCCGTATAGCATCCTGTCTGCTAAGAAGCTCACAAAGGAGAGCAAGAGAGGCAAATACAACAAAGTTAAGTGTGTGCAGACTTTTTTGTGGTTGGGTATTTACCTGCACTTAATTCAGTGACCTGGTTCTTGGGATTAAGCTTGAGGGTGCTGGTGCAGAGTCTCCCCCCCCCCAACCAGCTCCTCAGCTTCTTATCTCCCCCTCCCCAAGTGCACCTTATTCCTCAAGCCTGCTGGAGCAAGTATTCCCCCCCTCCATATCCTGTGAACTCCTTAATCCCTGCAGCATGGCAGAAGGATGGAGTTAGGATCAAAGGGAGCTGGGGAGTAAAAGCTGTCTCCATGCATGCCTTGTTTTCCAGCATCAAACGGCTCTCCCTCTGTCCTGCCGGCTTTCTAGCATGAATGGGATTTGATTTTGCAGAGATTGGATATGGGTGTAACGGAACAGGAGGAGACTAGCAAGACGAGTAACAAAAACGAGAAGGAAAGTAGCCAGGGTTCCTTCTTCAGCTATGAAAAAATTATGCCAGAAGAGGCTATAATGATGCTAAACAAAGTTTTATTTCTTCTATTCCTTATGAACCAGACACGTAAACACCTTTTTTTTAAAAAAAGTAAGATTTCAAGGTCAGATGAAAGTGACAAAGTATACCACAATTTTGTTGGCACACAGAAAAATCAGTGTCACACAGGAGTGCAGAATTCGGCTTAATACCAATCTCTGCTTTGACATAACAGCAAGCTGCCAACTCTTACGACTGCAGAGATGTGTGTGAAATGAAATGTCAGGAGCCAGACAGGTGGCTCAATGAGATTTCAAAGGGTTGAGGAGGGAGGGGTGCCCCACATTCTTTCTTAATTCCTTTCCAGCAGTAGCAGAACCAGCAAATTAGTGTGGATGCAGAATAAATTGCAGAATCAATTAGGCGACATTTTTAAGAAGTTACCCACTTCTTAAAAGTGGGTATGTTGTCAATGCTGCAACCCAGCTGAAGGTGGGTTAACTCGCCAAGCTGGGTTAAATTCCACACTTAAATAATCTGCCTGTCCTTGATTAACTGTTGGGCTAGCCAGCAAGTAAAAACTGGGACTGTGCGAAAGTCCCAGCTCTCCAGTGTTTTACATTTGATTCTTTTTTAAAAAACAAACAAGGAATGGCTTTTTCTTCCACCTTGTATCCCAAGCCAGTGGATGATAGCTTCACCTTGAAAAGAAAAGTAATGGTGACATGTGCACATATCAATGTGCACTGTAAATCAAGACTGGCTTGTCCTCCAGATGTTACTAGACTGTTTTCCATTTTCCCCTCACCATTGCCTTTGTAAACTGGGGCTGATGGGAATTGGCATTGTGGCAAACATCTGGAGAGCCACAGATGCCTCGTTCCAGCTGTGCATGAGGTTCTGGCTTGAAGTTGATCTCATGAACCAACTGCTGCCCCTGGTGAGAGGAGATACCCCATTCCTAATGTCAAAGTAAGATTCAACTCCATCCTGAGCTGGTCCCGCTGCCTGGGAGCCATACGTCCACTGCCTTGCGTTTGGGTGAAGAATGGCAGAATGTGAAAGTGCTGGTAATAAATATATTTGAACAGTGTTCTAGTAAGCAGGTTTTGAATTAGTAGGGATGTACCTAGACTACCTTGCTAACCTGAATCTGCAATAGCATCCTCTAGCCTTGCACAGGACTGCAGCTCATTGCCTTGGCTGTTCCGTTCTGCGCTGGCCTGTCAGTTAATACATTCTTCTCCTCACCTGGGAGACAGGACCTGTCAGTTCCTGTTAATCAGGCTACAGCAAGGCAGAGAAGGAGAACTATTCCTGGCAGAACGAGCAACATGTTGTCCTGGTAGAAATAAGGTGCTGGATGAGAAACATTAAAATGGTGCATGAGTGCGATGCTGGAATTCATGGGCCCAGATAAAACTCCCCGGCTGCTTGTGTTATGCAGCCGATAAGAAAGCTGGAAATTAAACTTGCAGGGAGATCCCCTGGGGAAATGAGCTTTCGCTCCCCAACTTGGGCACGTGCTCGTTCTCCGGGTGGCTGCAGGCGCTGCCACCCACCTGAAGCGAGCATAAGTGTATGCGTTCACATCACCTTGTTCTCTTTCCCCAGGTGAAACGAAGCAGTTTCCATTCTGCCTGCCAAAACATTGTGAATAGTACAAACCTCTTGTATGCCTTCCTGCCCACAGTCAACTCTGGCAGGCCTAGTTAAAGCAGAATTTTACAAAGCAGAGTTTTGGTGCTTTCATGCAGCACTTGGCACCCTGAGAAGTTT